TAGAATGAACCAAAGTTTGAAAATAAATGAAGTTCTTATGGTTGGATTTCAGTACTGATGGTCGGATTCTTTAGTTTTAGGAGTGGAAGGGTTGATGCTGGAGCCTCATGATATCTTCTCCTGGTCAGTGTCTACAAAACTGACCTGAAAGTGCAGGAGGATCATCCCCTGGGGACCAAGCAGATTAGATGTTCCCACAATTCTCCTCAGGCCCCTCATGATATTTAGATGGAACTTTAACTCTTTCAATCTCATTAATTTTACCTGTCTTCTATTTTTCCAACTGCCAGTCAGGGAAAAGAAATAGACACTACCATCTTTGCTGTCTAAGAAAGAAGTGTGCAAAGTGGGCCTTTTGAAAAACGGAAACAACTTCTCTCCCTACCCCTCTTGGATCCTTTCTCCCCTAGCCAAGTTTGCACTGACTGGGAATTCCCACAGGGGAAGCTGACCCACTGTTGCTTCTCCCATGAACTTTGCCTGCTTCTTCAGAAACAGTTTCTTTCCCCAAAGCCAATCCTATAAATTGCCTTATCACTTGCCAAGGATCCAGACCATCTACCCAGGAAAGCCTCCCCGCCTTGGATCCTTTCTCCCCTAGCCAAGTGTGCATTGACTGAGAATTCCCACAGTGAAAACCGACTTACTCCTGTTTCTCCCGTGAACCTTGCCTGATTCTTCAGAAATATTTTCTTTCTCAAAAGTCTTTCCTAGGAATTGCCTTATCACTTTCCAAGGTTCTAGACCATCTACCCTGGCAAGACCACAGTCCCTTCCCCCAGCAGATAACTAGGCTTACCTGTTTATATTGCTGCTTAGCATTGGTTAGCCTAGCTTATCTTCTTATCAGATTGTGAGTTCAACACACTAGGAACCAAATGGGTCCCAGCAGAAGTAGTTATTCCATTGCCCACGTATGGGCACAATTTATGTTCTTTTCAACCAACCTCAACCTATAAATATAAGGCCCTCAGTACATCTAAAATTTGTTTGACCTAGAATGACTTCACATAATTAGAAGAACAAAGCACTGATTCATCTTCCATTGTTTTCTAAAGCAATATATACAGTATGCATACAGAATAAATATCAAGTTATAGGGACTACTGAGATGGCTCAGTGGATAAAGTGTTTGCTTGGCAAGTATGAAGATCTGAGTTTGGATCCCTAGAATTCATGCAAAAGAAGCAAACACTTCTAACCCTTCTAAGCCTAGCACTGGGGGACAGAGACAGGAGGATTCCCAGGGATTGCCTGTCAACCAGTCTAGCCAAAACAGTGAGCTCCAGGTTCAGTGAGAGACCTTGTCTCAAAAATAAGGTGACAAGGATGTGGTGGCTCATGCCTTTTATCCTAGCACTCAGGTGATAGAAGCAGGTGGATTTCTGTGAGTACAAGGCCAGTCTGGTCTACTTAGTGAGTTCCATGCCCGCTGGAACTACCCTGTTTCAAAAACATAAAAGACAAGGTGGACAGTGAGCGAGGAAGACACTGACATACACCTCTGGCCTTCACATACTCATCCACATGCATGAGCACCTACACACACATACACACATAAGCATACAACATACACATACAAAAACATTATATATTTATTTGCATCATGAAACTGAAGTGGATAGCTACACACAGTATATCTGAATCTTACTAACTTAATTTGATTGATAAAAGCAAATCTCAGAGGGCTGGGGCGATGGCTCAGTGGTTAAGAATACTGACTGCTATACCCGGGGTTAATTCCCAGCACCCACATGATGGCTAACAACTATCCAGAACTCTAGTTCCAGGGAATATGACACCCTTTTCTGACCGCCACAGGTATTGTGCAACCTGGTGCACTTACATACATGTAGACAATACACTCATACACATGAAATAAAAATAATGAATAAAAAAATTTTTTTGGTCTTTTTGAGACAGGGTCTCCCTGTAGCCCCAGCTGTCCTGGAACTCACTATGTAGACTAGGCTGGCCTTGAACTCACAGAGATCAGCCTGCCTCTGCCTCCCAAGTGCTAGGACTAAAGGCGTACGCCACCAAGCCCGGCCTATGAATAAAATATTTTAAAAAGAAAATCTCAAAAAACAATACAGAGCACAATACGTATCCTAAATGCCAAATGCTAAATATCAGTGGGGCATCCCTTTAGCCACGTGTGCATGCTTACAGTCAGACTCGAGCCCCAGGGCATAGCTAGTATTCACTCTTTCATCTCTCAGGCATCTAACTCACAGGTGAATAGAACTGATCTCATTATGTGCCCTGGTTCCAGCCTCCCTCTGCTCCCCATGGCTGGGTGCCACTCTGCACCCCACATAACCTTCTTCATCTCCTTGACCTGGCCTGACTGAAGCTCAAGCAGCTTAGGGTTCACCTAGTTCCCACTTCCTTCTCCTCCCAACCTCACCTGCTCTGTCAAAAAGAAGAAATTGTGCTTCCTTCTTTCTCCATAACTCCCTCTTCTCAGTGCTCTATTCTGACACTTTGAGTTTCCAAAGATCACTCTCCTGGGTCTCTTGGTGTCGTAGGCCTAGTAGAATATTCCATGAACTCTTCTGGGATTGCTTAGTACTGACTGTGATCTACATGTTGTCAGAAGATTGCCCATCCTTCCAAATTGAACGAGAGCCACCTGTTCCTTCCCTTCTGTGTCATCCTTAGGGTGAAGCTTGAGCAGTATCACAGGCCTCCAGAGGACACTGAGTGGATCTTGAGCTAAACTGGGGCTTTCCATCTTGGTTTCCTAAGCTCTTGCCACAAATTTACAGATAAACCTCCTCAGACTCTTTATAACCACCCCTAGTCCCAGGTTATCTGTTCCTATCTTTCCAGTACCCAAAGTTCTTCTGCAGTAACTATTGCCACACAAGTCAATACCTAAGGGCCAAGTACATGCCCAGACCTGCACCAAGTATTCTGTCTCACTTCACCAGGCTCAGTACACTTGTGAATTCTGTAAGGACTTGTTTCCTCCCTTAAGTCTCAGAAACGATTTCATTTCAGAAACCAACACCAAGGGAATTTTCATTTTTCAGGATGATGCCTTAAAATTACCTTACAATGACTATTGCCTTTCACAAAGTCTGGATTTAGGATTCTTTTAGCACTCAGAAATGTCTCCAGACAACAGAAGACACTCATCTGCCTGTAGTCCAAGGACACGCCAACTGAAAACAGCTTTAATTTGTAGCATAAATTACTGGTATTAGAAGAAATAAAGCATTTCCTGGCACTGCATACTAAACAATTGCTCATGATAACTGAGGGATGTTGAATATTCTCTGGAATGAAGATACTAAACGTCTTGATGAAGCAATTTTTGTGGGGGGTCTTTTTGAGAAGGGTCTCCCTGTAGCTCCAGCTGGCCTGGAACTCACTATGTAGACCAGGCTGGCCTTGAACTCACATAGATCTGCCTGCTTCTGCCTCCCGAATGTTGGGATTAAGGGCGTGAAAGGCAAGTTCTTATAAAATATGTTTTCACATGTGTTGAATCAATTTCAAGTTCCTTCTTGGAGTACAAACAGTAAAACAAGGATTCTCTACTCCTCCAACTTCTGTGGCTTTAATTTTGGTTTTCGTTTGTTTGATTGGTTTTGGTTTTTTAATTGATTTGGTTTGCGTTGTCTTACTTTTCTGTTTTCTGATTTCTGAGACACAGCAACCCACGTTGGTCTAGAACTCACTATGTAGCATAAGCCACCCTTGAACTTGAAATCTTCATGCCTTCCAAGTGCTGGGATTATAGACACTTACCACCACACTTGGCTTCATCTTTGATTCATTTATTTACATTTCCACTCATTTGCTCTCTGTCAGACTCTCTTGAGTCTGAACAAGATTGATATTCCTTTAGTGAAAGTTTTTCTGGATTTTCCTTTCAATCTGTATGATGAGTACATTCAGGGGGCCACACATGGACATCTTACCTATCACCTGTAGTTCTCAAGTGAAGATTGTGTGTGCCAACATTTCTTTTGAGTATGGCATGAACTTAAGCTATCTGAAGATGATTCTATTCTGTGAAAGAACAATTTGATGTCAGGAAATTCCACTTTGCTGTTTGTTACAGAATCTGCTTCTGTGGCATTTATTTCCTTGTGGGGAGAGTTGGTAATGAAAGCCTGGAACTCAAGAAATTGTTCTTGTCAGGCAAGCAGGCTCAGCTTGCTCCTGGAACCTATTCCTGGGATCCAGAGCAAGAGAGAGCTGCTGTCAGTGATGGAAAGATAGGATTAAATGGTTCCTCTTCCTCTTCTTCCTCCCCCTCCTCCTCCTTTCCCTCCTCCACCTTTTTACTCCTCCTCCTCTTCATCCTCTGTGCTAGGGATTGAACCCAGGGCTTCACATATGCTAGGCAGGTGTACTACCCTTGTAGGTCACCATTCTTAATAAAGGTGTCCTTTAGACATACAGTTTCTACAGATAAAGTGAATTTCAGGAAGAAGTGTGAAGGTTCCAGTGCACTCTCTCTCTCTCTCTCTCAAGAGAGAGAATGATGGATACTAGCTGGATTGGTGAGTTTTAAATTTTGGGTCTGTGAGTCCAGCATACAGTATGATAAAAGGAAACTCTGGAAGAATTCTGGAAGAATATATATCCCAAAAGGAGGCTTATTTCCAAAAGCCCCCCTAAGATTGTAAATGAATGCAGTATACACACACACACACACACACACACACACAGACCTTAAACTTCAAACCTCCAGATCTCTGCTGTCTGTACTCAGGGTGGATTACTGGAAGACTCTTTGGTAGCGGCTAGTGATCAGGAGAAAAGTCCAAAGTTGTCAGCTGGACTTGGCTTTCTTGCTTCGTCCTGTGGAGTGGCTTCTGCCTTTTCCAGGATTTCCTTTGAGTCTCAAGAGCCTTTGCTGACTCCCCCAGAAAGCGGGGAGGCAACAGGCTCCTTCCTCCGCAGTCCCCAGAGGAGGGTCCTGGGGCCAAGAGCTCAGAGGAGAGAAGCCAGAGAGGCCAGAGCTGCTTCCAGAGCCTGGAGGGAGCAAGGAGCCGCTGTGCCAGACCGAGAAGTGCTGAAAAGAAGCCCAAACTTTGACGGGGTAAGGGCTTTTGGGGTGTTGAGCTGGAAGTGGCTGAGGCGCTGGGAGGTGTTCTGGGATGGCAGAGTCCAGGCTGGATGGGGAAAGCTGGAACCGGGAGGGAGCAGGGGGGAGGGTGGGAGGGTCGCGGCGCTATCCACAGCCCCTGGTGCTGAAACGGACCGAGTCTGCACTGGGGACAAATAACCTCCTGCCCGGCCCCTGCAGACACTGGGGACATCCCACGTTCCTCTAGTCCAGTTTAAAGGACCAGAAGCATCTAAGCGTCTCCCACCGCATCCCCTTTTACTGGCATCCTGCAAGCGTGTTAAGCTAAGCCGACAGAGCTGTCTGTCGGAGCACTAGCAGAAAGAGCTGGGCTGCCTCCACTAGGGACAGGAAGGGGTCCGTCCAGCCGCGAGTCCCATACCCCGTGACACCGCCTGACACACTGAACCCAAAGGCTGAATCTCGGAGTCCACTGCCACCCAGTTCCCCTGTTCCAAGCACAGGTCTGGGGCACTTGTGACTGAGACTTGGAAGGGTCCACAGTGAGTTAGCATGCCTCTGCCAGACCATACTCAGCCTAGAGACCCAAAGGCAGGTGTATTGAAGAAGGAGTGAGAAATTCATTTGAGCATCCTTTTTTTTTTTTTAATGATGAAATTATACCTGACTTGGCCACCTTGACCTGAGGGATTGATTAGTGATTAAGTCTGGAGGAGCACCCTAGGCCCTTGATCCCTTACAATCTGCTTATCTGATAAGGCGCCTCAGGCTTTTCTTAACAACTTAGCTCCTCTCCATCCTCCACTCCATTCCCCACTCCCAGTCATCTCTGATACCCCACAGTCTGCAAATCAGCGGGCCTTTTGCTCTGGACCACCCTGGGATGAGGCTGAGAAGTTAGGAAATGGAGCCAACGGTTCCATTTTTCTTTTTGTTATTTCCCTACTTTATGCTGTTGTTGGGACCTTAAATGTTGTCCCTTTGAGGTGAGTATCTTCCCAGGCACAGCTGTGGCCAGAAAGGAAGAAGACTTGAGCAGGAGGATGTGGTGCTTGCAGCCCTGCCTGGGTATTGGTAAAGCTGTTTCTCCCAGGTGGAACCTGCTTGCTTAGGACTCTCCCTGCAGCTCTGTCCTGGGCAACATTTCCTTAGAGGCTAGACTGCCTGCCCACTGCAGGCTATCATCATCAGCTCTTTTGTTGGGGTGAGGCTGGAGTCTGCAGCACCATCCCTGATACCTCAAAACCTTGGAAAATAGCCTGCCACCTGGGTTCAAACTCATCCCATAGTGGCTAGCTCAGATAGTCCCCCAACATTCTCTATGGACCATCTGCCTCCACCACCCCCATACAATATCATTCATAAAAATAAATAGTAATGTAGTTGTCTGGTCATGGGAGTCACAAGTTGCAGTGTACTTTGGTGCCCAAACTCCCTAAATGAGAATTCATGGGAAAGGGGGCCTGTAGAAAGTTGGACCACTTGTATGTATGGTGATTAAATCCATCTTCTATGCCAAAATCCCAGTTGTAGAAAATTCAGCCACATCATTGTAGAACCCAGTTGGCATTTCACTGAATTTTGAGGTATCCTCCTGTATGTGTGGAGATGGATGTGAAGTCTTCTGTGCTTCACACCAGTGCCCAGGAACACAGATCTTCATAACTTCTCTTCCACTGCAGAGGAGCCTCTGTGGTCAGGGATGCCTGGAGGAAGTGATTGCTCTCTGGTCAGCAGAGGATCTTAGCCACATTCACTGGGTCTTTGGCCAGGACTTCATGTGCCTTTTGCCTTTGATGCTTCTGTTTTTTATGGCTTTTTTGTCCTCATTCACTATCTGCCAGCAGATGCATTTCTGGTTAAGAATGGGGTTGCTATGGTGACCAGTCTTCGGTTGCCATGGTACCCAGAGGTAAACAGTTGGAAACTGTGCAGGATTTTCTCTAATTCTGGAAGATAACCCTGACTGCCACCTTCTTGCAGGAGTTGAAAGATGGCAGTGACCAGGTTCTAGAACCTTTCTCTGACTTGCCCCCAGCATGCTGCCCACCTGAAACCCTCACTAATCTCCACCAACCACAAATGCTTCAAGGTTAAGATAGGTCAGTCTTTTTATCTCCACCATGCTGTTGCAAACACTGAGCCTGGGAAGAGGGGATAATGGCTTTCCTTCTGGCTTCATTTATTTCATTGCACACGGAAGACTCCTGAGTATAAAGCAAGCTTCAGTGGGATAAATAGAATTAAATTGGTAAAACAGGCACTGTCCCTGCCCTGTGGGATCTCTCCTTACAGTGTGGGAGATGAGGCCTACAATACCTGTGAGCTAGCCTGTGTGCTGGGTTGAAGTGGACATATAGTAGTCCTGAGATTAGATAAGTACTGAGGACTGACTCCTGTCAGAAGGCCTCTCAGAGCAGGTCACATTTGAAATGAAATTTGAAATTGAGGAAGAAAGAAAAGATCTCTTTGGGGGCTAGAGAGATAGTTCAAGGGTTAAGAGCACTAACTATACTTGCAGAGGACCTGGGTTCAAATCCCAGAAACTCTTATAAGAACAGAGTAAGGAATTTAGTTTGGGTTGAATATTCAGTTTAGCTCATCTGAGCCAGATTGTGATATCTTGGATATGAAGTTAAGAAATGGGGATGGTAAACTGGGCATGATGGTACAGATCTTTAATCCCAGTATTCAAGAGGCAGAGTCGGGTGTAATTTCTATGTGAGGCCAACCTGGTCTACATCCAGGCCAACCAGAATTACATGGAGATGCTATCTCAGAAAGAAAGAAAGAAAGAAAGAAAGAAAGAAAGAAAGAAAGAAAGAAAGAAAGAAAGAAAGAAAGAAAGAAAGAAAGAAAGAGAGAGAGGAGGGAGGAAGGAAAAGAAAGAAAGCAGACAGTGTCCTGAAAACAAGCAGGCTCTGAAAGTTTCTGAGAAGAGTAATATGATTAGAACTAGCTTTCAGAGAGACCGTGGGATCACTCTTGGCAATTCATTCATTGATGAATTCCTTCATTCATTCCATACTCATTGAGAACCTCCCTAAGTGCCAGGCTCTGGAAGGATTGCAGGGGTGAGAGCCTAAGATGGGGGAAGAGCAAAGGGTATTTCAGCAATGCTAGGGAGAGGGGCAAAGACCTGCACCAAGGTGGGGCACAATTAAAAGGGGCCAAAGGCATACAGGGTGCCCACTGTATGCTCACTGCCTAGGTCAGCCACTAGCCCATGGTTAATGCTTAGGACAAAAGGGATCTGTGGCTAGTTAGGAACTGAGAGAACTTGAAGATGCTGCATCTGGGGCAGTCAGAGTTCAGTGGGAATGAAGGCTCATGAAGATTCTTAGCTGAGTGGCCAGCTGGCTCTGGGTCCCATCCATGTGTTAACTAAAACAGAACTTGAAGGAGGAAGAGCATACCTGGAACTACTTCAGAAGGACCCTGTAACATTCAAGACAGTTTGGGCATAAGGGAATCTCTTCTTTGGACGCCCTGGACCTCACTAAACTCTCAGAGTTGCTTCTGTCCTCCACAACACTCACATCTTTCACCTTGAACTCCTATACTGCAGTCTAGGAGTTAAAGTTAAATGGGCTTTTGCTCTCTCCTGCCCCAGATCTGCAGAACAAGCTGTTTACATCTCAAGCTTCTTCATTGTAAATTGAGAAAAATAATTTCACTTGCTTATTGGGAAATTAAAAGAAGTAATTGAATATTTTCTTTTAAATTTTTATTACAATTATTCATTCATTTGTGTATGTGTGTAGATGTGCATGTGCCAGGACACATGTGTGGAGGTGAGAATAAAACTTGTGGGAGTCAGTTCTCTTCTTTTACCATGGAGTTCTGGGGGTCAAATTCAGGTTTTCAGACTTGTCAGTAAATACCTTTACCTACTGAGCCAACTCACCAGTCTAAAGTGAATACTTTCTAACAATTCCTGACAGATGGAAGTATTCAATGTTAGCTCTAACTATCATTATTTTCAATCATGGCAACATATCATTTTCATAGTCATACCCAAAAGATTAATTAACAACTACAAATGTCTCTCATACTCTCTTGGTAAAGTCATCCATGGAGAAGGAGGGGAGATCCTGGCCTTACTAGCACAGAGTATTGGGGCAGGAAGGGCCAGCAACCCCAAAGAGAAAATCAATGAGTTGGGTGCACAGATTTGGGCTCCTTCCTCTAGCAATGCTTGGAAAGTGCTTTTACTCTCTTGAAATCTCAGTTCAAACAGCTGGCTCTTGTTGCAAAGCGTGAGTCCATGCAGTCATGGGGAATCCAGGGTCCTGGTAGCTCCAGTCATCCCTGCAGAAGATCAAGATACTCTAGGCATAAGACAGGCCTCTGCCTCCCAGGATGAGTAGCAACATAATTGGTAATCTTGTTCCAGTTTCAGCGCATTCTCTTCCACCCCCAGTCTCTTCCTGTTCCTGGACACAGGGTTCATTTTTCTTCTCAGGCAGGAATTGAAAATTTGCAGCTGGCATCTGGAAGCTTCTTCTGTGTGTTATGAAAACACACAGTTTAGAAGAGAAGAGGAAGGATTCTACTTACAGCCAAAAGAGGCTTCTTCAGGAAACAACTGAACTCTCTAATGCAGACTCATTATCTCCATCTTGATGCAGGGGCATTCATGGGTTTGAGATGGTCTATGAGACCTCCATCTCTGCTTATCACCTCAACCCTGAGCACACCCTGATACACTCTTTTTGTCTAAGACCTGAGATGCTCTTTGGGACCCTGTGGGCAGAGAGAAGAATCTGTAATGCTTATCATTTCCAGAAATTGGCCTTGGTTCTTGAGAGACAGGGGATTAAGCCTGAAATCTCACAATTAGATTAATGCTAGTTAATTAGGCAGTCCTGGCTATGTGAACAGTGGACCTCAGCTTACTGATCTGTAAAATAAATATCAATGATAAAACCTCATGGAGAACCTAGGAGGATTAGATGAGTTGATAAATGTGAAAGAGTGTATGTAATGTGGTGCCTAGCATAGTGTATATC